ATTAAAGCAGCAGCAGCTGCTGGCGCCCGGCCGGGCCAGCGCCTTCCGTGTTGTAGGGCTCAACAGCCGCGTGTTGCAGCAGCCGCAGCCTCACGTGAGAGAGAAAGGGTCCTAACTCATTAGCAGTGGTTAGCAGCAAGCCGCTGCCCCGCTGCTGTTAGTTTGTTGGCGCAACAAAGTTTTATGCAGCTGATAAACCTCCCCGAGGCCCACGGCGCGGCTGGACAGATTAGCGGCAATTAAGCACCGTGTGGCGTGGTCGGCGTGGCCCGGGAGAGAGAGAGAAGCGGGGGGAAATTATCATTATTATATCGGGGCGGTTTTGGGGGGGAAGCGGATAGTGCGAAGCGGAAAAGCGGGCGCTGTGCATATTGCTTCCCTGTGCACGGCTAAAACAACTCATGCATGAAAACGAAATAAGTTATGGTGTATTCTTTACCATTTTACACGACGACTCTCGCAGTATATTATTTAGCACCCGCAGTAGGCGTTTAAACTATTGATTTGCATTCCTCCTGTTCGTTTACAGTGGACGATTAGCTACATCTTTTCAATAATACCCCATGTAGAAAGTAGAAGAAGGAGCACTGTTTGGGTGATTGGGGGAGGGGAGTTTAATTAAGTTCGACATGACCCTCTCTTGGCTGCGTGTGGCGCGGGCTCTGCCACATCACCTTCACCTTCGCCCATGACCGTGGTGGTGGTGATGTTGATGATGATTGGTTCCGTCTCCAGACTTGGCAGAGCGGCTTCATAAACTCGCAGCCGCGTCCAGCCAGCCGGCCAGCCGCGAGCTGGACTGGACAGGGTGGGCTCGCTGCCGGACACGTCGCGGAACTGCATCGCCGGCAGGGCATAGCAGGCGGCAGGCACGCGGCCAGCGCGCGGATTCCGACGAGCGCGCGTATATTTTATCACCAACAACTTCCTATAACTCTGTCATATTTTTAATAGAGATGTGTGTATAGTAAAAACTTGCACAAGTTCGACAAAACGTGTTGATTTTACAGAAAAAATACACACGCACGGTTGCGTTATGACACAACACTGGTGTTGGTGTTTTGGGGCGCGAAAACTTTCGATGAGGATAATAATAGAGGCGGAAATGCAGAGTCAAACTCTGGGCACTATAACACCCATAGAGGGGAGACATAGCGCGCGGGCGTGAGCGGCGCGTAGGTAATAGTGACGGACGGGACGCGGCGTCGTGTTGTATTATAGGCCGGCACGCCACGATATTTTTGGGGGGGATTCGAGAAAGCTTTTCTGATCGGCGTCGCGCCCGGGACTCGGTTATGCACCACGACCACCACGACGGTGTGGGAGGCGCGAGGGGAAAGGAGCTGGAGGATGAGGCGCAGCGCGGCGCTCCTCTATCGTCCTCGCGGGCTGCCAATCGCGCCTACCGCCGCAGGTGGGCGGAGCGAGCGAAGTGAAAGAGAGATTTTATTGTTCAAAAACACAGAGCAGCCTTTTCCTTTGGCTTATCGACGACTCGGGCGCAATATCGCCGCACCCCCGGGGCCCCCCACAGAACTGGTGAGAAATGAAGGACGATATTTGCCCCTCCACAGCTGCCGTCGCCACGTACCACGTGTGCAATACGCCTTCAGGGCGCAGGGAGAGGGAGAGAGAGAGAGAGGAGAGAGTAATATCATCATTTAGCAAGGCTCACATCAGCTCGGCACCCCGGGGCGTCTGCGGACACCTCGCTGAGCTCACACCACCTCCGCCACCACCGCACCTCGTTAAAAAAAAGGAAGAAAAACGAGAGAGGATTGCACGAGCACGATCGGTTCGGTTCGGTTCGTCCTCTATTCACATCTGATTCCGAGGCGCGCGCGGCGACGACGACTGCAAGGCGGCGATGTGGCTGCACAACCAGCGGTAGTTGTTGCCCAATGCTGCTCCTGCTGCACCACCCGGGCGTCGTGTCCGGGAGCCCGGAGGGGCCAGGCCAGGGGTCCTATGTGAGCTGGGCCCCCCCGAGCGCGCCCCCAGCCCCCCAGGGCCCCCCCGGGGGGTCGCACGCCAGTGGCGGTGCCAGCTCGTTACAGAGCCGGAAGACCAAGTGAAGCAGCAAAGCAAAGCGCTGCAGCAGCGCGCGGGCATCGGAGGCGCCACCAGCACGACCCTACAAAACCCTGCCGCTGCAACCCAGAACAGATGCACTCCAACGTTCGCTGCATTTAGATACATAAATTTACAAATTTCAGAAAACAAATTCATTCCATTTATAGAATCGTCAAAACTTTCAAAATCTTCTAAAAAGTTGAAATTAATAAGTTCAAAATGATGAGTATTTATTTTTGCAAGTAATGGTACAAGGTTAGGATTTACCACACCATATAGCTGTTCGGGTTATTTTTAGCCTATTTTCTTTAGAACGTCCACCCCACCTCCCACTAAACTGACATTATTATACCTTTCTCCCGACTTTTATTTTTGTTGTATTTATATTTGCTTTCCGACGCGACGCCCGACAGTCTGTTCCGGCGCACGGAATTCGAGCCGAGTCAATCCCCTCTCTCTCACACCATCAGCATTGACAGCCGTCAAATTCTATGTAGTTCGCTGTCGGCAACATGGGAAAACTCCGCCTCACCTATACACGCCTCCGCAGCACAATCTTTTCGTGTTCGTTGTTTCTTCGCGATTTTTTTACCTGCAGCTACGATACGGTACTCTTTTGCGCTTGTCGTTTCCAGCGTAGCATGGTGCTTTGAGCACGTTTCCCCCACTCAATTTTTGAACGAATACGAATGCATCTTAATGAAAATGCATTCACTTAAACTTTCAAGTCTGAGTCTCTCTTGGGTTCCGCCTCGATATCTTTAGTCCCTGGACCGGATCGCCCTCCACACCGCGCCCCGCCTTGACAGTGGCAAATGCAGACAGGAACTGCACTGGCAGCGTGCCAGGAAATGACCGAGGTTCAGCCTTGGCCGCCCCCCGAGTCGGGCCTCTGCGGTGGCGGGCCCGCGCCCCAGTGTACCGAAGAGCTGCATACAGCGACAGCGAGCGAGCGTTTAGAGCCGGGCGTCGACATCAGCGCGAACAATAAAGGGACAGCGATTGAACCGAAATGAGCAATCATTATGACCACTGGCCACCGACGAATATTACATCTCATATCGTCATGAAGATGCAGCTTTGAAATCAAAATTCTATCATTTTAGAGCAAATTTCCCTAATTTTAAGTATTACATTACGCGTAATACCTAATTTAGGTGTACAGTGTATTACGCAAGTGAAAACCCCCTCGGATATGAAAACCGAATCGCAGGTAATAATATGAGAACCAAGCGCGTCTTTTTAAAAAGGATCGACTAGTCTGCCATACAATGATACGCGACACAATTTTGTTCCACTGCAAACAGCAAAATGGTGTCTAGCGTCGTTTGCCGTGCCCGCTGTTCTAGCTCTACGGCTTCGCGCGGTTGGGATAATCTGCGGATACGCAGGGATGCGTCTGTTGGAACTGCGCCTCGCCCCGCCACGCCCCACCCTGCCATGGCCAGCCAGTCCAGAGTAGGGCCTACGGCCGCGCGTCGTACAAAGTTGGGTCGTTGTCACTTTTCCCATTTGTATGCTAAGCGGGGCGGGGCGAGGCAGGGCGGGGGCTAGGGGGGGGGGGGGGGTGCACGTCCACGCGCCACGCGCCGCCACGGCCCGCGCGCTCGCGCCCCGGTGGCTTGGCTTCAGCCGCCACCTGGCTCAGGGCGATCGCCCTAAGCCCATAGTCGAGCCGAGGGACTGGGTTGACGTGATTCAGTGCGGGCGGGCCTAAGTCCCGAAGTGGGGCAGCCCCAGAGCAAGCGCACCCGCCCCCGCACCTCGCGGCCCCCAACCCGCTAAAGCGCGCGCGCGAGATCTCCCAAGTAGTTTCAAGGATGCGCCGTATTCCTTGGGATGATCCATGGGACGGCTGTTTTACTTTGCTGACCGTGCAGCGGGCCGTACCCCCCGAGCATAGCGCACAGCGCTCCATATTGAACATCCTAATTAAGAATGATTACAATAATTGCAAGTTTCAATCGGGCGGCCGCATTTCCATATTCATCCACGATTACGACAACCTCGCCCGCCCCCACCCCTTTTCTCTCTCATTCCCTTACCCTATCCGCCTCTCACCCCAAATACGCGTGTAACGTCACCGTATCCTTAATTTGCATGTCCAGGTGAGGTAATTGCGGCAGGTCAACCAACCCCCCCCCCCCCTCCTCGGCTGTAAGAGGACCATAGAGCAGACCAGCAGAGCGCGCGGCGCCACCACACGGGAGGATACGACCCTCGGGTGCGCGACCCTCGGCGACCCTTGCGCGCGGGGTAACTGCTACCACAACGAGGGTCGCGCGGACCTATACGCCCTGGCCGGGGCCCTCACCTCCCATCTGCCACCGGAGCCAGAGGCCCCACCAAGAGGCCCCGCCAGAGGCCCCGTCAGAGGCCCCGCCAGAGGCCCCGCCAGAGGCCCCGCCAGAGGCCCCGCCAGAGGCCAGGCCGGGGATATTAATTTAATATCGTCGAGTGTCCTCTCTCTCCTCGCATTCACGTCCACATTTGCCCTCCGGCCCGCCCCTCTCTTCCCTTGCTAATGCTGACTGCCTCGCAGTCGCTGCTGCTGCATTTCCTGCCGCAAGATGAATAAGATGAATCGTCGTGGATAATTGTTGCTGGGGGGAGAGACAGAGAGAGGTAGACGGAGGGAGACGTATGTCCTTTATATTCCTCGGCACTGCACGGCAGCGCCCCTCCTCCTCCCGCTGCTCCTCCACATGTGCGCGCCGTCGTCGTCGTCCTGCTGTCAGCCCAGCCTCCCCCTCAGCTCAGCGCGCCCGCTCTGCCCTCCCGACCCCCCTACTAACCGCCGCGCCAGACCGCACGGCCCCGGCCCGACCCCTTTCTAATTGCACGGTCCTCTTCCCTCTAACGACACCCGCCCCGCCCCGCCCCGCCTCGGTACAATTCTAATGGTGCGCTCATCGCTCTGCTTGCAGAACATCCTGGACAAGTTCAACCCGGCGGCCCGCCAGCTCATCAGCGCGGGCAAGGTGTACCTCAAGGCCCTGCACGGTGAGTACAAAACACACAAAGGAAAAGCTCGTGTGCACGACGGGCGTCGCTTCGCTTCGTCGGTCGAACCCACACGGCATCGCGCCGATCGGAAACAAGGAGAGGATGAGGAGGAGGTGGAGGAGGAGAGGAGGAGGAGAAGGTAGAGGAGGACCCTGACCCGACCGGACCTACCGGCTGCACCGACCGCTTCTGCTGCGCGCGGCGGCCACGTCGTTGCGTGTGAGGCGCGCGCGCCCACGCCCCGCCGCGCCCCGCCCGCCGCGCCCCGCCACCCCCACGCGTGTGCGGCGGAGGAGACGTAACGCCACGTAAGTCGAGTGATGCAGGAACTCCTCAACCTGCTGCCGCTGCTCTGGAGCCTGCTCGCGCGCGTGCTCTGCTCTCCTGCCGCTCGCGTGTGTCCCTCCCGCCGCCGCTCGACGCCAAGGTGATTGTCACCACCGCGTCGTGCACCGACCGCGCCGCCGCCGCCGTCAGTGGGGCGCGCTTCCGCGTCCCACGCGAGAATCATTGCGGAGCAGGGCGGAGTCACGGCAGAGGTGTTACACATGAAACTCTTTATTGAGAAATCCTCACATTCAACATTGTTCAGAAATGTTCAAAGAATTTCATTTTCTTCTATATTTTTGTAATAATTTCTGTAAAAATAACTTTACATTTCCATCAGAGGCACGTTACCTGCTAACGTTATAGACCGAGTTCTACTGCTGGCTTCAGTCGCGTCCGCTGCAAGTGGCTCTGTTACGTTCGCCCTACTATTACACATACTAGAGTATTTTTGTTGTTGCACCGCGAAAACGGGAACGAAAATAATTGTACTGCGTTTTATGACCTGCCGTAAGTACCTTACGCACCGCCACCGCCGCCACTCACTTGCCTCGCCCACGAGTTTTGGCGTCACTCACCCAATTGTATGCCAGCGTGCGTATGCGCGCGCGCGCGTGTCCACGCGCCGTATTCAAACTCGTTGGCAGGTTACAAAGAGCTCCACTTATTCCATTGTCGACTGTCGAAAGCGCGCCAAACTGGCGTGTAGTAAGCAGTCTGGGGTATGGGTACGTGTGTGTGTGTGTGTATGTGGTGCGTGAGTTCTCCGTGTGTTTCGCGTCCACAGGGGAGTGGCTCACACACACACAAACACAGTGGCCTTTCACCCCCCCCCCTCTCTTCTCCTTTTACGTTGTACTACGCGGCTGGAATGTGTCGCCAGCAGCGGTCTCCTTGAGTAGCATCGGCCGCAGCAGGGCAGGTGACCCCGCCACGCCTCTTTCTTAACCAACAAGTTATTCACCCAACAGACCTGCAGGAGGACGCCTATTCAGTGGTTTAAGACTTCAGACGAGATTGAAAAAAAAATATCCATGCTTTAAGACCACGGGGACAAAGCGGCCGTAGAAAATATTTCTTCTATTTTAGTTTCACTTTTTGGGGGAGTTAATTAAAAAATAAAAACGCAGATCTCTTTTTATTTGATCACAATAAGTCTCCGCAAGTCTTAGCACCTCAAGCCGCCCATGCATCACGGTAAAACAATGTCTGATTTTTTAAGGAAAAAGTGAAATCTTTGAAAAACGCCTTCACATGTTTTCGGGGAAAATCCTCTGATTTTGAGACCTTCTCAAAAAAAATAAAAAAAAAGTTCCGACCAGAAACGGATCGTGAAAGCAGATGATACCAAGTCAAAGGTTCTATTCCAGTCTATAATATTTCTGTCGGAGTTCGCGGGTCGCCGACCAGCCCGAGCTCAGAGACCGGTGATTGCGAATCCGGCTACTTGTCAGAGCCCTGTATCGGGCGAGCCTCCGTTCGGCAAGAGGCTCGTTTTGGAAAAGTGGTCTGAGGTAGGGTAGGTAGATGTCTCCAAAGTCTCTCGAGCCGGGAGTAGCGACGGTCTACCGGCCGCTTCCGTCTCTCTCGCACTGACCAGTGCCTGATGCGTCTGTCTTTGTCTTTCCCAAACGAGCCTCGCCGGCTGGCCAGTGGCCCGCTTCACCTGGCGAGCAGAGCCGAGCCGAGCCTTCGCGCGAGGTGGAGCGGCGTAGTAACGAGCCTACTAGGCTCGCCCGATACAGGGCTCTGCTACTTGTACCACTTAGATTGCAATAGTGCAATATGTTTGGTTGCACCCACATCTCCTGCCCTCCCCCGCGTCGTTGTATATGTAAGTTTAGAAGACGAGGTTTTGTTTCTATTTTTTCTGCCCAGCACCAAGAGGTTGGGGTGGGGAAGCGGGGGCGGGGGGAGTGGCGGTGCGGGGCTCCAGTGGTGGTGGTGGTATGGGGAGCACGGCCGACTCGGCTCGGGCGCGGCTCGGCTCGGGCGGCTCAGGGCTCCGCTAGGCTCGGCTAGGCTCGGCTCGGCGCAACAACGCGTGGCGTGGCGGACGCGGCGTGGCGGACGCGCGCGAGCGACGCGAGGCGACGGGACACCACCATCCCGCCTAGCGCAATATATGAGCTTCCTATTGGTTCTCTTTAATATTTCCTATTCGAGAGTTAAAGCAATGACACCTTACATTACTAATGTATACTTATGTCTAGTCATGTTTAGTGTAAGGTTGTAAGGTATCATCTGCTAAAAAATAGGGAAATTGACACTTTTTTTTAGGAGACTTCCTCAAAATCTGGAGTGTTTTCCCTCAAAAATAGGAGTTCCCCAAAGTTTTCCCTTTCTCCTCAAAAAAACTCAGACATTTTTCTTATAGTGATGTTCCCCGCCAGAAGCAGCCCCTTTCTCCACAGCAGAAGTTCCAAGAGGTCCTCCTCCCTGCTGCAATTCTGGCGCAACGGCAATGGCCATACACAGCACACATAGCCCGGGCCGCGGGCCGCGGGCGCGGCGGCGCAGGTGAAGGCAAGGCGACATACCGGCCCAGTCAGCGCGATACTCACTCGCAAGTGCAGGCAAGGCCAGCCTCAGCAGCGCGCCGGCGCGCCGTGCTCCGGATCGCCTCAGCTCCGCTCAGCTCAAGCTCGCAGCCCCAATCATTATTTCGCCGTTTCGGATGATTGATTCTCGACGTCCCCGGCCGCGGCTGCATATAATGCACTGGCGGGGATAATGTCCGCCGCGAATAGTGGATCGGCACGCCAGGCCGGCCGGCTATCCGCAGCGGAGGCGCGCGAGCGGGCGAGCGAGCGATTCAAAATTGCTCTGTCTGTGAGAGAGAGACTCCTCGGGACGACGATGATTGAGATATCGGGATGGACCGTCGTCGTCTCGTCAGCCGTCCGGTCGGTTGGGACGACAGACATGGAATGTTTCTGCTTCTCATGTCCCTGAGGAGATGCTTGCTTGTTCGCGCTCTCTCTCTCTCTCTCTCTCTCTCTCTCTCTCCCGCGACAGTTGCAAATAACATCCCGTTATGCGCCCTCATGCCTCCCGGCGGAGCCTCCCCGATGGACATTCCGAAGGGTGGAGTGTACAGTCACATAGTGGGAAAGCGCGGTGCGATGGGGGCGATATATCGGCAGCGACACGCTGGTTATATGGGAGATCGTAGATAAGGAATGAAAGTTTCATCCCATTTACATACGACGACTTGTTCCCATACGACACGGAGTGCTCGCGTGTCCCCCTGACCCCCTATACTCCCCCACTACCTCCCCCAAAGCCTCGCGAGCAAAACGGTGATGTCCCTCTTCCTTTTGTCTTGGGACCCTTTTATTTTTATTCCTCTTTCTTTCCGTCCCGCCCCACTTTCCTATGTGTGTGCGCGAGTGGTGTGCGTGTAGCTCGCCCCCTCCCCCACCCCCTCCCATTCCAAACCCCGTCTACATTTCCCACCTCGCGCCTTGCAGTGCCTCCGCGTCCACCCCCACCACCACCAACCCTGGCAAAAGTTTTCACCACAAAAGCTTTTATACTCCAAACTTGGTAAATCTCGATTAGATTTTTTTTGTCTCGAAAAATGTTCCCCAAGGACAGCGCGGACAACGAGAGCGGAAAGTGATAAGAATTATCCCCTCCGGTCGCGAAAGAATGCGCAAGCTGTATCAGCAACAGCAGCAGCAGCAGCACGGCCCTAGGTGATCCAGAGTTATCTCCCCGGCATTAAGGGAGGAAGAGAGAAACATGGAAACGTAAGCGCAAGAGCGCGCCAAACTTTAGCGGGCGAGGCCTGTCTCATCAGTTGGAAGTAGGGGCGGGAGGAGGGGGCCGCCGCGTAGCTCGCCCCGCGCGCGCCGGCAGGTAGGCAGTCCAACGGGCACCTGTGCGCGGCGCGCGGCGCTGGCGGCGGGCGGGGCGGTGGCAGCGACGGCCCCGGCCCGGCGGCCGTAAGCCACGCGCCGTCGGCATCTCCATCTCCCGCACTGTCCCCGCGCTCCTCCCCCCTCCAGCACCACCTCCACAATGACGGTCATCACTTGCACCGAGCACGCCGCCGAGCACACGCGCGTTTACTCCCGCCATTTCTCAGCCGGCGGCGGCGGCAGGGGGGCGGCCGGTGGCGGTGGCATGCAGGCTACAGCAGCGGCAGCAGCAGCACCACTAATACAGAGTACTCTCGGAAACTCAGTCCGGGCGAGAGGATGGTGTGGGGTGGGGAAATGAGGTGATGGGAGACGGTGCAGACGGCGGGGCAGGCGGACCTATGAGGAGCGGGGGAGGGAGGGAGGGAGGGAGGCACGGCGACGACGACAGAGTGATAAAATAAAGCGCCACGCCGTAGCAGTGCTCGGCCGCACCCCACCCCCGCCGCGCCCCGCCACGCCCGACCCGACCCCATCTCGCGTCTCGGTCCCGGACGCCCGCCCGGCCCGCGGCCTCTCCTCTCTCATTGTCCGGACAGAGCGCCGCGCCTGGACCTCGCACCAGTTAGATATGACCCCTGCTTGTAAATTGAAGGTGTCTCCCCTCCGAGGCCGGGCGGAGGGCGACGACCCTTTTCAGAGCAGCGCGGCGGTGTGTCCATAGCCTCGCCGCCGCCGGTGCCCACCGCACCGCACCACCCGCACCGCCTACACCCTCTTCCTCTTCCCTGCCGCGCCCCCGTT